TTACCACTACCCCTGGGAGCAATGAGAGAGAGATCGCTTCGGAGGCGTGCAGGTCATTAACAGAGCCCGTAGTCCGTCGGACGAATTCCCGCCAATAAGGAAACAAACCAGGATCTCCGGGGAAACTGCGCGGGGATCTTGGATATAGATATACCAATATCGCTTCAGCAATCCGCAATCGAAGGGAACCGGCCAAGCTCGTTGGTGCAATGGTCGTTTAGAGATCACTGTTTACGTCGCTGGAATGTTCGGGTCGCGAGTGGTCGGTTACCGCCCCTGTGGGACGTTAGTTACTAAGAGAATGAAAGGTACGCCTAAATTAACGAAGAATAAAGCTACGAAGTTTTCTCGTCCCTTTCAGCGTTGTTGCCCCGGCGGAAGGCTCATCGATTTAGCTAGATCATTATTTCCGCTCTCTTTTTCTCATTCGAGAGCCTCCTAAGCTGCTATTTTGCATATAACGAAGATAACAAAACCGACTTAATATTTTTTAAGGGTAGTAACAGACACCACGGAGTGATCTGCTCCTAAATCTATATTAAAAAAAAGTATCGTCACTTCGGTTTTGATTTTAGTATTTATCCTCAACCGGTCCCCTGGCGTGATGAAAGCTTTCTTAATTTACGATAAAAACGAGTGCGCGCCAGACATTGCAGGTCTCCGCTCCTCGTAATGACCCCGGCGGCGCGGGACAGCCTGAGTGTCTATAAGACCAGAACCGCAACGTTCTTTGCTGCGGACAAGATCCCCTCCTGCTGATCCGGCGTAAAGCCGCACTTACTGCTCATACGTCACACAAAAGACACGGTATTAGCTGCGGACACGAGGACAATTGTGCACGTTAAAGACCCCAGGCTAGCGGTTGTACTGCACTGGCTACATTGCTCATCTACAGGTGAGAGGCAAGTCACTCGTGGAGGCAGGCTAACTTCAAGGCTGTATAAATATACCCATAACCCAATTTGTTTTTGTTTTTTACGACGACAAAAGTCTAGGCTTGAGTTCATGAAACGATATCGGATTAGAATGTTCACGATTTGTACTATTTGAGCGTGTTGGTGGCTTTTAAACAATTAGAAAGATGAGACAGGTAGGGGACGATGGAAAAGGGACAATAATCCCGCCTGTGTCTCCCCTTCCTAATTGTTTAATGTTCATGACTTTGCAGAGGCGTACTTGTCCTAGCCTGGCCTATGTATACTCGCATAAACCGCTACTAATTCAGAACATTTTTTTTTTTCGCGGTAAAATTGCGAGGATAAAAATGGGCTTTTTTTCAGTCTGGTATTCGCAAAGCTTGGTCTACGTAATTCTGGGGTCAAAATTACCTGCCTGACGACAGCCGAGCGCAGCTCATGGATTGGGCACGAAAACTGCGAAAGCACTCGACTTCGGCTCGTAGCAATCAATGCCTCGGCGGACGCACAATCAAGATCGCCGTTCTTTGAAGACGTTAGGTAGGAGCTTGATCTGAAAATGCGAGCACCTCTGCCAAACCCACCATAACCTTCCCCCACCCCCCCCCCCCCGCCTCCCCCCGGGGAGGTGCGCTGTGAACAACGCGCTCAGATATGACACGCAGTGAATAATACATAGCTTGCAGGTGTCGCCATTTATGGGTACTGACGGTTATTTTTTTCTAGTTACTCGTTCCCTCGAGTGGTGGTGTGAATCTAACTCGGTGGACCGAATGCTCGTGGTACATAAAATACCGACACGATCGCGAATGACGTTTCGGGCAAGACATGTATAGGTAGTACAGTGTTCGTATAGGCCATAGGGCGTACAGTCTTCAGATATTACAAATAGGCGAGATTGTCACGCGTTGACGCCACCAAGCGGAAACGCTCGCTACAACAATATCATTGCCTGATATTGTTGATACGCATTGCGCTTCTCGCTGGCTGATTTTGAAGCGAGACGTGGAGAGAGAGAGAGAGAGAGAATAAACGTGTATTAAAAATCTCGCGGCCAGATCATTTCGTTTTCGTACCCCCTTAAGGGGGAACGGTATATACGATAGGGCCAGCTGGAACTTAATACAGGAAAACATGCAAGCACAGAAAGGAAAAGAGACAGAGAAATCGCTGAACTACTGTGGTTTAATACTTCTTCCTATTTGTGCATCTTGACTATTTGCTTGTTTTTCTTCTCCATCTAAGAGCTATAAATACAATTTAGTTCGAAAGGATCCTCAATTCAGCGGGACGTAAAATATCGCGAATATTAATTTTCTTTTGTGTTTAGCTCGATGGAAGGCACGCTGACGCATGATGCTTCGTTTTCTTTAATGGCCATAGTTTCAAGCATCCCTCGTGCTTACTGGCTTTCCTTTCTTGCAAGGATGGTGATGCTGCTGAACGCAGCGCTGTATTTACAGATGCGACAATGAGCTGTTAGATGACCTTCTGTGGTTTTCTTGACAGGTGCCCCATGCTCTCTTGTCCTTTTATTTACGCACCTGCCAGTTTGACTGATGTAACATTTGCCACATGACAGGGGAATCTTGTAAACAACCCCTGTGTCACAGGAGCATATTGTGTCTTGTGAGAAATGTTGCGCATTTTCTTATGGCTGATGTTGCAGTTTACTTTCCGGCTCATAGAATACGCCTTGTTTGAAGCAGAGTACACGATTTTAATGTCGTGCCTCGCGGCTATTTTTTCTTTTTTTTTAATTTGGGGTTATGCCCTGACTGTAAGGTAATACCATGATTCTTTGTTTAGTTCTTGTCTTCTTTCTTCAATCGTGTGTCAGCTAATATGCGCTTCAGTTTTGTGCAGATGTTTTCAAACACGCATACCAGGAGACCAATCGGATACCCAGAATCACGTAGGCGAGAAATTCGCTTTTCAAAAGTTTGCCCGATATTGTGGTCACAAGATTTGTTTCGCCGATACAAGAGCGGTGTAGGCAAAACTTCGTTCTAGTTTCGGAATGTCCAGACGCAAATGGAAGAAATCCTTTGGTTGATCTTAAACACTCTTGTATCGGCCTTAAACAAATCTTAACACCACAATATTCGGCAAAGTTTTGAAAGCAAATTTTCCGCCTACGTGGTATCAGATAGGTCTCCTGGTATATGCGTGTGTCAAAACATATGCACAGAACTGAAGCGAATATTAGCCCACACGAATAGAAGACACAAGAAAAGAACTAAAAAAAATAAAAAAATGGGAGTATATAGTACTCTAAAATCATGAACTAACCGACAAATTAAAAAAAAAAAAGATAGCCGCGTGGCAGGACAATAAAGGGGCGATGCAACGATTTTTCTTCATCCAATAAATACGGCTTAGAATTATTCTTTGACATTTATAACTATGAAACACACGTTTCTTTTTTTCCCTGCGCAAATGGGTTCACGGAAAAAACCCGAGAAAAACGAACACCGTTTACTTCCTCAACCCGCAGCCAGAAAAAGCGGCCACCTGGCCTGGAGCCGATTATATGCCGCCAATGTTTTTTTAACATAGCCACGCGTTGGGGTTGGCAGAGCACAGGTGCTTCGGCGATGAGTTCCACGCATTGTTAAGTAAGGTTCGGATATTCCCGTCATTGCAGCGATTGAGCACGAGCCTCTACCCGAATGCATGTCCAGGTATTGATTGTCACGAGACAAAATCAAATGCCTACGCAGTCTTCGTGCCCACTGTGTAAGCAGCATTTAAATATCGTCACGGGGGGGATTACAAAGATTGATGACGGGCTTCCGGGGATCGCATTGTTGGCACTGTCCCCACAGCTCCGTCATCAAGTTTTGCGAGGTAGAGACTGAAAGAAAATGTTCGCTTTTACCCTTGGAACTCCACCGCGGTGAATACGCTTCTTGGTCAGTGGCGTTGCGTTCGAGTATTCTTGGGTATCACTGGTGCCAGTAAGCTGATGGAAAGTGAGACACGTTCCTACTCAATATAGTGGCACTGGCCATTTAAAGGAGCTGTGCAACGATGTGCGCCGTTTCAACGAAAGGCATAATTTCAAACTAAATTGTATATATAGCTCCTAAGGAAAATAAGCACATAGTCAAGGTACATTAAGAGTAAGAAGTGTTGAAGCACAGTCCAGCGATACCTCTATCATTTTCTATCTTATGGCCAGCTTTTTGGGACACTCCGTGGCATAAAAAATTGTCAAGGAAATATCGAAATTATCATTGCTTTCCGTTCTATGGTACCCTGGGAATTACAGTCCTCGGGAACATTACGAGTTTTGGTTAAGAAAAACAGAAATTGATAATTTTGTGAATGTGGCCCATAGGATTCAATGCAAAAATGTGTAAAGCCATAGAATGAAGGATATACACGTGTCCGAGAGTTTAATTACTGCTTATTGATATTTTATAACTGTGACCTAAGATATTCCCGGTGTATTTTGATGTTTGTTGTTTTTCAGTTGAAACTCTGATCTTAGTGCTTGCGCCGAGGCGGGGATATCAAAAAAGTTTGGGATATGTACTTTCACGTTTTCCTCTAATAAGTTCCGATCCTACACCTAGCTTGCGCTGTCGTCATTTGGCCAGACATAATGGCTCATGAGAGGGTAGCCACCAGAATGAGGGGTCGAATGACGTCACGTGCAAGAATCTGCGCCTCAAGCCAACACCACCTAGACAGAAGGCCTCCGCATGGTCTCCTCTCCCTCTATGAAAAGTCATCAGTATCGTATCGCGCTAACTTGGCAGTTGGAACCGAGCCCGACCTTCGACGCGCTGATTGGTACCCGAGCCCCAGCTGAACACTGACGCATGCGTCAGTGTTCAGCTGGGGCTCGGCACGAGTGCTGCAGCCCTCGTGCCCAACACAACGCCTTCATCCATCTGACTGGGATGACGCTTGCGGATGCCTTCTGTCTAGTTGGTGATGCTCAAGCATGTTCGAAGCATGCTTAATGTCAGCACAAAGCTTTATTTTTGTGACAGTTATACAAGGGGCGCTTTGGACAGTGTCCCTTAGCAGCGTGAGCGCGGCTTCAAGCCTTGGCCACCGTTTTTCACGCAGGCGCCCGGAGACCCTCGATGGCCGATGGGCTTCCCGGCCTCAGCGCCGAGCAGACCCCGCGGTGACCCCTGCCCTCGCCCAATGGCCGACGGCGAGCCGCGCAAGAAGACCGGCAGCCCCCCGGCGGACCCGAACCACGTGTCCGTGCAGCTGGAGCCCCCGGCGACACCCAAACACATGCGCAGCGCCCCGATCCGGATCCTCACGCACCCGGTGGACCGGAACCTGACCTGGTCCTTCCTGGCCTCGGTGGCCTTTGTGTCCCTGGCGGCCATCGTGGGCCTGCCCGTGGTGCTCGTGCTGCTCTCGCTGCTGCCGGTGGCCGTGGTGCTGAGGCACGCCGGCACGTCGTGCGCGTCAGCCCGCGAGGGCGTGCTCTGCGAGGACGACAAGCGCTTCGTGTCGGCCATCGACACCGTCTGGCTCCACGATTCCGAGTTCAACTTCCACATCGCCCACTGCGTCTTCTTCGTCGAGCCCGGGCTGACTGCAAGCCTGCTCGGGCAGCTCATCGCCGAGAGGATACTGGACAAGACCAACGATGAGGGAAAGCGCATCTTTAGGAGGTCGGTGGAGTGTACAGCGTGTTCCCCCCAGATATTAACGGGCCTTTTTTTATTCTTTTTTTTTTTTACCGCAAAATGAAACTGCGCATTGTGGAACATTCACCCTCCGCCCACGTAACGCTAGCGGTTCGAACGAGATGCCAAAGTTTCACAGCGGATCGTTATCTTCTTCAAAAGTTATAAGTGTTTTTCTGAAAACGGGTCAATGGGATAATGGGGCCCGTCCTTGGTAGCTGACGCCATTCAAGTGTACATTCACCGTGGGATAATGGGGCCCCGACGGCACGGTGCCGACAGGGCCGAGGTGCACTCCGATAGCAAACCGAAATTTACAAACCCGTCGAATTGTTGCGGTTTTTCAGAAAGCCATAAAATGCTTCGCGTGCCTTCTATCGTTCTGCAATTTGTTGATTTAGTGTATTTTGGTGATGCTGAGCAATTTTCTACTTGAAACCATGCCCTTAAACACAATATTAAAAAGTTAATTACGCAAAAATAATTAACAATCTAAATATCCCGGACTTTAATCATTTTCCTTAATAGGCCCCTGGCCCAGGGCCAAAACGCAACAAGCCTTTTTTTGTTGCGATGAGTCGTTTTCGCAGCAGCGATTTGGCCTGCGTTCTCTGAAACACCCTGTATATGTATATATACGGCTAAATTATTCGAATCGGGTGGTGGCTCTTGCCACCTATCCGGTGTTTCTAATAACATATGGTAATATACGTACGTATTATGGTTAAGGTACACTCGTACGTTTGATGTAGGATTCAGGACACACGTAAGGGCGTACGTTTCATTGAAGCGCAGGCTTCGTGTGCTCCTTCCCCTAAGGGACGGGACACCTGGTGAAACTGGCGAGTGGAATTCTCACCGCGTGTGTTTTTAATTGCCGTTCACAGACTTTTTTTTTTCGTTCGTCTTTAGTCAGGCATAGCATCGACACGCTGCAATGACTTCAACTCTGCGCGGGGCCGCCGTCTAATGGGACACTAATGAAGCCGCGGCAGCTAGCTTAGTTTCTTTGTTGTCAAGAGAGAGTTTTCTCGCATCGTCAGCTGAACACTGATTGACTCGTTCGTTTGGGAAGTTCAGTGACCCTCGGTTTTCACGCTGTGTTCCGGCTGCTTCGCCTAAGTAAGACGCCGTATAAGAACGCGTTGTTCAGCGATAATATTTTTTTCGGTTACCTGAAAGAAGCGTTGGTGGTAGAAAATATATATAAAAAAGGCAAAAAGTAAAAGATTTTCTCTTTGCGGTCGAATAGGGTCCGTCTCACAAGTTGAGTTCAGACAGCGCAAACTAACGACAAACACTTCTCCCGGATTAGCTGGGTACAGTTTATTAGCCCCTGTTTACGCTTGAATGTCACCAACTTGTTACTAAAGCTGCAGTCCCATTGCTCGCACATTGTATACAAAAGGCATCGCGGCAGACAGTACGGACAGGCCTCAGGCATGTTCCAAGCATGTTTGCATCATACATGACATCACATTGTATGACCAATGTGAAGCCTTAGACAGTGTTTGCAGTTTTTGTATCATGTGTTAGTAGTGCGACCGCCGCTTGACGTTTACGACCAAGTGGTATACTACACGAGAGTGCCCATATCGCCAAAAAGACTACTTTTTCCTACTATTTCCCGAGGCAAGATTAGGTGTTTATTTATTTATTTAGTTCATTACCCTTAAAGGGGCCCTGCAGCAACTTTTTGACTGGTTCTCAATTTGCACCGACCTGAGCGCACTGAACGTAGTAACCTAAAGAAACTTTTCTTTTCTCAAATTTCGCTTTATTTTAAAAGTTATAGGCAAATTAGAATTACAAAAACAAGCAAAAAATAAGCTCCCTCATGATGTCGTAGGTCCAGGCTTGAGTGGCCGAGAACTAGAGGAGGAGTAGTGAGCTCATCGAGCGCTCACGGCTGCCGCCCACAGTGCCGACGGCTCGAGAGGGCGCCACTAAAGCACGTACTGAATAGGCCGTATGAAGCGGGCGGCCAGGGCGGCTCGCATTGCATTTGCTGCACACTTAAAGACTAATTCGGCATAACTCTTCATTGGCTACAAACGACAGCAAACACGGAGTAAAGATCAGTTCAGAGCGGGAGCCACTTCGCGCTGCCATACCGCCGAATGGCCAAATCGCCAGCCAAGCCCGCGCCGAAAGCCTTCGGAATCATTCGGAACGCTCGGAACCGGTCGGATCCTCGAGCCGGCATACGACCGCAGCGCCGCGGCGTACATCCGGGACCTTTCTGCGCTTGCCGTTCGTCGGCAGGGGGGTAAAAGTGGGTGAGGAAGAGTGGCAAATCCCGTGCGCCGACATCCTGGGTCCCGAGTGAACGATCGCAAAAGAGAGCGACAGAACACGAGAGAAAGAAAGCAACGTTGCCAGCTGAAGGACGACAGTCGCAATGGTAATCGCGAAGACTGAGAACTCTCAGCAATATACACAGTGATAATTTAACGTTGTAAACTAAATTCTGAGCTATTCTAACGCTTATGAAGATCAGTATACTCATTACGCTGCGTTAACTTCCCTTCTGTCGAAATCTCGGAAATCCGGAGGTTGCGCGGTTTCGTATTCCTGGGGCGCGGCTACCCGCGAAGCCGGTTATCTGGTTTAGTTTAGTGTTGACGAAAGGCCGTACATCTGCGCGCTATGCAAAAAGAAAGCTTCGAAGGGAACGTGGATATCTTTCCACCGGTAAGTTCGTGGATTGTTGAAGCTCGTGGAACTGCTCTGATAATATAATTATATTCGTGAAATCGAAGCCAGGTGGTAACCATGTGTGGGACCCCGAGGGTCTGCCTGCATGCTCCGCCACTTGTGGCAGCCAGAATACATGGGAAAATGGCGGACCTTTTCCTCTAGAGTTAGTATGTATGATCTCTATGTTCGTCGGAGCCTCATCCCACTAGCCCTTTCTATACTCCGTTCCACCTTCAGTCCGAGCGCACTGGACGCCACGAGCTATCCCAGCCGATCCAGCTTCGGGAGAAAATCGCGTGACCTTTATTTAGGTTTGCCAGAGCGACGCACAGAGCTCAAGGTCACATGACACTCTCTCAACGCTGAAATAGCTGGGATAGCTCCTAGCGTTTGCTGCGCTCGGACTGAAAGTGGAACGGAGTATAGTATGCGCCGTTTTTTCCGCCGCTTGGTGGCGGGTTTGTCGACGGGTCTTTTCTTGTTTCCGTACTTTATAAACTGAATTTGTTTCTTTTCTGTCTAAAATACTGAAGAAAAACATACTTAAATACTGGAAAAAAAAAAACAAAAAAAAATAATTGAAACGTAAAATAGTTTCTTGTTGGGCGAGTTGGTGAACGTTGAGATACATGGTTTTGCGCAAAAAAGACGGACACAAGAGAGAGAAACAAACACTTATAGTTTAAATCTCGACAAAAAAAAAAAAAAAAAGCTTTTAGCGGCTCTGACCAGCTGTAAGCCCAGGACCAAAGACGTCACATATTGCGCGCTTTCGGCAACGCGGGTCGCCCTCGTAGGTGGACGAGGTTTCCACGTCGTCCGGTTAAAATATGACTCACTGATATTCAGTTACTCTCTCCGTGCCCGCTGGCGTGCCCGAACCCCAAGATACGTGGAAACCGCAAAAAAGGTAGACGCTTAAATATGATTGCAGGGCCCCGTTCAAGCCGGTTCACACAATTGCGACTGCTTACGACCGTGTGCCTTAACACCTCTTCGCTTACAACTGGAGAACACACTGGCGCCACCTATCGGGTGGAACACTCGCAGTTTTCGTATTGGGCAGGAGATCGAACTATAGGGGGCGCTCTGACCCGTTTGTTTCCCTACACTTTCCTGTTTACTCAACACAAAGCCTGTGTACATGCCTACAGGCCTTATGGGCATGTCCATGTCATCTTCTACAATAGAGTTCAGGCACAGTGTAATGTAAAAAAATACTAACAATCGACTAAGTGACGCTAAGTGCCGGATCTATCTCGAAAGCAGTCGTCAGAGAATGCGAGCTTGAGCCACTTCGGCTGTTGTGCTGAGCAGGGCACAGTGCATGCTGCATTGTTCATGCAGGCCGGAGTGGTAACAAAAGAACCCCTCCTCCCCCTCACCAGAGAACACGAACTCAAACCGAACGCTGACGCCGCGTTCGGTAATGTCGGCCGAGCGCTGAGTCACTGTATTTCTTGTCCCCATCCGTGTAGGTCTAAAGTTAACCACTTGGGGCGTCACGGTCGCTCATCCTCCCCAATATTGCCCATATTTTCGGAGGGGGATTGGTGGCCGAGTGGGCTGGCGCACGCCAGCTCGGAGCACGTGGAGCGAAAAACGTTGCAGAATCCAGGGGTCCTGGGTTCAGTCCCCATCCCTGCCCGATCAGGATGAGCGTCATACCGGCGTGCGGTCGTATATTATTAGGGAGTTTTCGTAGATCGTTTTTGCCGTCCCACTTTGCTCTCCGCAACCCGCTACGATACGCGGAACTCTACAGCCAAGGCCATCGGCGCGCAGGCGCAGTAGTGCTTTCTTTGTTGCTGAGAGCTTAGCGGAGGGGTAAAGCTGTCTATGAAAACTCCCTACAACTGCATAGTGCATGTTATATACCCCAGGGAGTCTTCATGTGCGCTTTGCTAGGGTGATGCCACCCTTTGTAATACCACTCGCCGACAAACCAGCAGCCATTTTGGTCCTCAGCGATAATCTGTGGGCTTATAACCCTCCCGGAAACAACCACCTTATTTCAGAAGTTCGGAGCAGCGTTGTGGAACCCACGGAGGGAGGATTAGCATTTCCTCCCTCGGATGGGAGGACCGATGGACACAAAGGCCACTTTCCGGCGCACGGGGAAACAATGAGGAACAAAATGGCGGTGGACGAGGGTGTGGGAAAGGGAAACTGGCAGTTGGCATCACCCTATGCGAAGCGTACATGAAGGCACCCTAACATACCCCAGGGTAGTGGTTGTACTGCACTGGCTAAATTGCTCATCTACAGCTAAGACACCAGACGCCCATTGAGACTGACTAACTTCCGGCTGTATAAACATATGCACAGTTACTTGTTATATCTTAGGTGCATAATCTTTCTGGCTTTAAAATCTTTTTGCAGTGTATAAACGACTATTTCCCATAAATCGTACGTGCATTCGGTCTCGCAGATACCACGAAACCTTCGCTCTAATAAAGTGCAGTTCCAAGGTCACCTCATAAATGGCGCCAGCGTGCCCATGTAATCTCTCTTCGGAAGAGATCACTACAGCTAGGTCCTAAGCAAACGCAAGGTCGGAGGTCCTTACAGAGGGGAGGGGGTTGCAAAACTATTCATAGTAAAATGAAGAACAAAAAATTCTGAGCATGCAAATAAATAATCAGTTTCAGTATTGCGTACACGCGCTTTTCAAAACTGCCTTAACAGTGTTTTCAGTTCAGCATTCCATTTCATGTTTTAGAGAGTTTTAGTATTGCCTATAGGAGTAAACTCAAGCGCTGTGCGTTTGCGTTGACTGTTCCAGAATACGCGTGCGCGGAGCCCCAACTGCGGTCTTGAATTAGCGCATAGCGACGACGCGCATGCGCAACGTGGACCACGCAACTTTAACGCAAACTCACAAAGCTTGCGCTTGGGCGCGGTGGTGGCGCGTCGGGCGCACTTCCGGTCTGGGGCTTTGGCGGAGGTCACCATGCGGGACGTGCATTCCTGTGATGTTTTGGAAGAAACCAGACAAAAACCTGCCTTCCCGTCGAAACGCCGTGACTGGGGCTGTACCGAAAGAGTCGGGAAACGTTTGAGGGTCAGTTTTCGTGTGTTTTCTGCGTGCTCGGTTCGTCCGAGAACGTGGATAGGGGCCGTGAAAAAGGACAACCAGACGCCGTCGTTCCACGATTGGTTGTGCGGAAAACACTTTGGGTTGAATTCACGGATACTTGTGGTCGTCATATTTATTTGTTTCCAACACGAACGCGGGAAGACCCCCCAAGTTCTACGGACCCTCTGCGGACAACGATCAGCGCGTCTTCAAGTTCAAACTGCCGCCTGATCGTTCGAACTGTCTGTCGTCTGCTCTTTCAAACGTTTCTGCTTGTTGTCGTCTGCTCGTTTTAACGACAGCGGCCCGTGGACCAAACGTTGACGCGGTAATTGCGATAAGAAGTAAGGGCAATCCTAAAATAATTCTTAAGTTTGAAGGTTGGTCGGGGTAAGTATGTTCGGTGTAAAGAGTAGATGCAAGGAGATGTTGATAATTGTTAGCATGTGGCCATCGCCGATTCGTTATGCCTTCACTTGGTCCGATTCCGCTTGCGATTTTTAATACCGACGTCGATCATCTCGGCTACGGTTCACGCTTTTGCTGCCCGAGCGACACCATGACTGAAAATAGCGAACAGAATCTCATCGTGCGAATCAGGCCTTAGCGTCCATTCTGCGGCGTCCACGCGGATTGAATCGCGACATGTCACATTATTCACGCGAAGTCATACGGTGTAACGAGCATCGTTAATTTTTCTGAAACCCGCTAAAGTAGTCAGATACTGCCAGGAAGACGTAGAATCAACAATTCTAACGCGAAAATAGCACGGTGACTCACACCGATGCCGACAACATCGGGCTCCGATGGCTTGTTTATGAGCGACAGCGAGCTCCTTGCTCATACTCCATCGCACATGCGCGGCGCCGGTAGCGTCGGCTATAGGGTTGCTCCGGTTTGTTTGTAAACATGAGTTGGTCTATACGCAATACTGAAACTCTCTAATTAAGGCAGTTTTCAACCTCGACGCCATTAGATAAAAATAGCCCAGGCGCTGGAAAGTGGTTCCAGTTTGGTACGAATTTACTGAGAAAAGTTGAAGCTTTACATCGACATGTAGCCACTTTGTGTTGGTGAGCGGCGTGCATCGTTGCTTAGGAAGGAGTTACTAGCAGCTCGTCAGGCAAAAGTGGATTACTGTAGCAGATCTTGCGCTACAGCCACAAACGGTAAAGTTGTCTATGTGATCCAAGGTTAGCACTTGGTTATGTTACGCTGGCAGCTGGAGACGTAAAGTTTTCCCTCCGTTATCGAGGGCTCCATAGAAGTTTAACATATATTGAAGCGGTAGTTTCATCTCGGTAGCGTTTTCAGTCGGGTCGTGTATATAAGAACGGAGGCCGAGTGTGCTAGCGCACCGGAGCTCGGAACACGTGGAGCGTGCGCTCGCGCTGCAGAGTCCAGTGAACTCAATCCCAACTTCTGCTAGTTTAGATTTGGAAAAAAAAAACATTGTACCGGCGTGCGGTTCTGTATAACAACTGCGTGATGCACGTTGAAGACCCCAGGCTAGCAGTGGGTACTGTACTGGATACATTTATCATCGGCAGCGGAGACGCCAGTGGTCCGATTTTGGTCAAGGCGGGAGCGAGAGCATCCTCGGCCGCTGAATGGATGTGGCGCCACAACTTGCGCGTAATCAACCAATGACACATTTTAGATGAGTTCACGACTTCCCAATCGGGCAATATATCGGTGCTCACCAGCACGCGTGACAGTGAGAGAAGTCTCGCGGACTGTGATATGCCTTTCCTTAGTACTTCGTCATCCACCGGTCGGCGCCAGCTTGTGCACGGCAGCAGAACAACTTGAGATTTGCAAACAAAGCGCGGGTTGTCAATGGCTTCTAACGTAAAATAGCGGACGGTCACAGTTTCAGCCTATGCCCGATCTCATTTCGCTACGGCACTTGGTTCGTAGCAGGCGATCAACTTTTATCCCGGTCTGTCAAGGCGAGGCCCCGTCACGCTGAGGCAATACGACGGCAACAGCAAAGCAACATGTTGTCCAACAGTTGGGCAACTTGCTGCTTGCTCCCCGTGTTGTCCCGGTAACAGCAGCGCAACCTGGACGACAAGGAAGATGTTGCGTCGGCATGACTGCTTTCGGCAACATAAACAGCAGCAACTTATGTTAGACGACGCGTGTTCCCCAGATCGGTGGATGAGCGAATGTCGTGCCATCAACATAACACAGATAGCTTAAATTACAGAGCAAGTTTCCTATCAGTAACGTCTTACTAAAATAAAGGCTTGGAAAACGTTATTTTATAATAATTAAGTCTAGCGTGCAGCTACAATATTTTGATGAATGTTTTTTGTTTGTATTTTACTGCGTAATTACGGAGCTACGGTCCTGAACGTTCAGACTAGTGTTTAAGTTACAACTGTCCAGAGACGACCTCACATTACTTCTAGTGAAATAAAATGGCATGCCAACTCAAGCGTAGAAAAAATAATCCAAGAAAGCGAAGATTAAAAAATCGAAGCATTAAAACGACCGCCCTGATTATGATTGTGGATGCTTGGAACCTGCAAACAACCGCCACCAGACACCTGAATCGTCTCAAAAATCTCCAGAACGTTTTGGGCAATGAAGCGATCTCATAAGAGGTGGTAGCCAAATAGACAGCGTTAAAAAATATTTATTCCACCTATTGTTACGAAGGCCGATCGTATCGGTGTCGCACTTTTTAAGCTCTTTCAGTTCAGTCCAACACCACGCTACAAAAGAGCTTTGGAATTACATGAAAGAAAAAGCCCGACCGAAACACTTCATACGATGACGTAAATCCCGAACGCATATCAACGATCTCACTTTTATCAGTTAGGGCTATCCGCTTGTTCAGCGAATGAAGAAAATTTTGATAAAATGAAGGGTGGAAATACTCCCTGTGTCGAGTTTTCTAGTCGCAGTCACTGGTTGATGTCGTCGCGTGGTAATTTCGGGCCCTTCGGACACACTTGCGCTTTGTGGAGTCACATTTCCAGCGGCGCTGCGACGCACACGAACGAAGGTAAACAATCAAGATGGCGGAGAGTTCCCCGTGTTGACCCCGCCGTCAGCGCGATGTACCAGGGTGATCGGACAACAAGTCATCGGCCAACACGGTTGCCGGGTTGCAGCAGCACGTTGCCCGACTGTTGTTGCCGCGATGTGACAGGGTCGCAGGAAACACGTTTTCCTCGTATGGGATTTTCTCATTTTAATTTCATATTCGAATAACGCTTGGAAAGAGACGAACCGCGTTTTTCGCTCGCGTTAGCGGACGGACCGTCCGCTAACGCGAGCGAAGAACGCTCTTTGTCTGCTTCGCGGTTCATCTGCTTCGCGGTTCGTCTGCTTCGCGGTTCATCTACAAACGCTATATTCGCTCGCTCCGCGAGGGGCAAATTCGATCTCGCGGGGACCCAGGTGGGACCCCAGGCGCCCATTGGGGCTATCTCTAAAGAAGAATTACTAGAAGAGCGCGTCCCAGCTGCGTCTCTATGCAGGTTCACGCGCAAGGTGGTGCCCGTCGTGGGCGGCTTCACGTGGGTGGAGGACGATCGGTTCCGCATCGAGCACCACGTGCTCGAGGACACCCGGAGCCTGAAGGACAGCCACCAGCTGCGCCACTACCTCATGGCGCTCATGTCCAGGGGCATGAACGTCAACAGGCCCCTCTGGGATCTGCACGTCCTGCCCAACTTCGACAAGGGCCGCGAGACGGTTCTCGTGGCCAGGGTGCACCAGGCGAGTGGCGCGGCGCATGTGCACATACCTACATGTTTATCAGGCACGTAGCCAGGAATTTGTTTCAGGGGGAAGGGCCGCTTATGACAAAATTTTGTAGGAGGGGAGAGGGAGAGGAGGCCCCAGCAAAATGGAAGATTTCGGGGAGGGGGGGGGGGGGGGGGGGCCGGGCCCCATGCCCCCCCCCCCCCCCCTGGCTACGTGCCTGGTGTTTATCATTAATATCGATACCTCAGAGCATTCTTCCTCGAGCCTAGAGGTCCCTGCTGTGTTCAACTTATTCTACTCGTCGCAAACACCTTTGGTCAACGTGCTCTCTGGCGGCCTTCGAAAATTAGCTGAAAACTTTCGCAAGTTATACATGCGCCCCTGCGATAGCAGGAGCGCATACATAAACTCTTCACTTAAAGGGAAGCTAAAAAGACATCTTCAAATCGGGGGGAAAATGAAACAACAGTTCAAGGTATTATGTAGGCACCTTCAAAATTATGTGTCTTAAATTTTCTTTCTATGCTTTTAGTAGCAGCGTCATAATCGCCAAGTAAAATTTTGAAGTAGCCCTGTCCGGCTCGCCGAGCGTAGGAGCCCGAGAGCGGAGGAAAAAAAATCTAGCAAAAGTGACGTCATCGGCGGGGCCACGTGTTCCTTTCTCGCCAGTAGCCACTAAGCTGGCTCGGGGATGCCGACGATGACGTCACGACACTTTGGATAGATAGCAGGCGGCAGACAGGCTCGCCGCATGCCCTGCGGCGATCGCTGCGCGTATTTTTCAAAATGAATACGGTTTACGTTTGCTTCTGCCCAAGAAAAGTACGATAACTGAATTCACGGGAAGGTAGCCTATAGCAGTTCGGTACTAGCCAATATTTATTGAAAAGTGCATGAGTTTTCCTTTAAAGGGACTGCAAGAGCAACAAAACCAGGCTGTGAGCTTCTCAACGAAACTGCAGGGCGTCAACTATTCAGCGTGATTGATGACGCTTCAACCACGCTTACAGTCAGGGATTGCAGTATATGTAATAGCGCAATGAGAGCAATCAGGTTGGACACCTGCATCACTCGGGAACTTCTTGAGGTAGCACAGGTTCACGCAGCACTGCCTTTAAATTGTTTTCTAGTCGACGGGGGACCCGCAGTCGGTTTTTAGCTTTTTATGCGGCTCGAAATATAAATGATAACAGCTGTAGCTTACCAGGGAAGTTTCCCGTGGTAGATCTACCGCCCGATGCTCTCGAACGGTGTTTAGTTTTTCTCTTTCATTTTGCGTTTTTAGGACACTTAGAAGTGTGGGACTATAAAAGTGTAGTTTTACATTCTCGCAACAACCCCGGAATGGTTAACTGTACGAATAATGAAAAATAAAATAAAAAATGAAAGCCGTTTAATACTCCCTGTAACGCCAAATTAGAGCGCAGCTCTTGAGGAGGAGGAGGAGAGGAGGATACTGAGGGGGGTCATGTGAAACGGGGGGAGGAAGGGGAATGGGTCACGTGACCTCGGGGGGGGGGGGGGATCACATGACCTCGGAGGGTGGTCACGCGACCTCGGGGCGTCACGTGACCTGAGGGGGGGGGGGGGTCACGTGACCCCCCCCCCCCCCCTCAGGTCACGTGACGCCGGCGGGTTGCATGCAACTTGGGCTAAATGCACCCTTGGTTGCATGCAACACGCGGTTCCGCCGACGCCGGTGGGTTGCATACAACTCGAGTTGCATGCAACCTGAATTGCATGCAACGCGCGGTTACGCCGACGCCGACGCCGCTCAAGCCGGAAACGGCCGCCTAAGCTGCGCTCTAAAAGCGCTTCACTGCTATTTTCGAGCAGAAATAAATTGCGTTGCTAGAATTCAATACTGTTTAATTTGTAACATTTCTTTACCAAACCGATTTACATTTGGTGAGCCTAAGTGGCTTTGGTATGAGTGCTGTCCGTTCTGAGCACGTCGGTTGCGAGACCCTCCGCCCGGTAGTCCTGACACGACACGCTATTGAAAGAGCAACTTAATACCATTACTAGTTTCTTCTCTTACGGAGTAGCGACGTGGTTACTTCGTTACCGAAAAAGTAACTGACTACAAGTATGCGCGTTACGTACAAGTCGTGACCCCCGGTGGCCTTCCGCAGGTGATCAGCGACGGCGTGTCTCTGATGATGCTCTTCTGCAACCACCTGTGCGACCCGGGACCCGGGCTTCGGCTCAAGCCCCGCTTCGGAGGCTCCAGCTTCCCGCTCAACGTGTTCCGCGCCCTGGTGGTGGGCCCGCTCACATTCCTGGTCACGTGGCTGATGCTGACCAAGCGGGACAGCAACTACCTGAAGCGCAGCGGCAAGGCCCTGGCCCGCCAGCGGGTCATCGCCTGGACCGGCTCCATCCGCATGTCGCAGGTGCACCGCATCAAGCAGATCACCCGGAGCACCTTCAACGACGTCCTCATGACCGCCATGTCCGGCTCCCTGAGGAACTTCTTCAAGAAGCGCGGCATCGTCAATCCTCCCGACATCAAGGTGAGAATCCTTCCTCCGCACTTCCTTCGAGGATGAATCTCTTCGACACATCCTTTAATGCCTGGAACGTGCGACGGCGTTTCAGCCGTGGTGGTCACACTGCGAGTGCAGCATGACAGTTTGTCTTCCTTGTTTCTTTCTTGTATTACGGTCGTCTAACATCGTTCATACAGCTCTGTAGACATGTCCATATCTGTGACACAAACGTGCTTCGGACATCCATGAGGCGCAGACGTTACCAGATCTGCAACCAAGTGTATGATGTGTAAGCGATCTGACTTCGGCTTCCCCTCGAGTCTCGTAGCGTCGGCTGCCACCATTTGGCTTCCTGGAGGTCTCTATACTAATTCGGGTATAACTGCACCAAGCAAATACGAAAGCTGAAATTAAAGGCTTTCCGAGCTTATAAACACGGTTTTTTTTCGGCTTTGAGATCACCCATACTTTCTTAAATCGTTTTGCTTTTTTTTTTTAATTATTAAAAACAATCTTGCGTCGTTCGTTCTTTTTTTTGCGTTTATTTTACAATTCTTATTTCTTCAACTTCAAGAACGTAAGATAATCGTTTTATAGTTTCATTGGGTCGTAATTTTAACGACGGTCTAGTCACTCGAACACGTAGTTGTGAAGCTGCGAATAATCGCTCTTGAGTCTAGATCCTTTTGCCGCGCGTCAGACTGAAGCCGCAGAGCCGTGTATACGGAGAGCTCAGTCAATGAGAGGCGTAGGCAGAGCCAGGGCAACCAGGACGTGCACCAGACGCAGAAAGTGGTCTTGACATGCTCTCTTGGCCAACCGGAAGCTGAAAGGAATCCCCTAGCGGTGCTAACGAGAAACTGTTTAATCAAAAATATATGTTGGTATATAATTTTAATAAGCGCGTAAGAGTGAGGTGAAGTAACCTTTTATGGTTGAAAATAAGGTGCACGTGATGTTCCAATCATGGTCATGCAGAAAGATGTAAGAAACGAATGCGCCGCTCAACTCTGTTTTGCTCGCACAGAGTGTGACCGCTCGGATGGCAGATTCCTACCCTCGGCGCACGGATTATGTCGATCGTTCCGCTAGTCGCTCTCTTCCTCCATGATTTTGGATGACGGTGGTTGAAACATCACGTGCGCCATATTTTCAGTCACCGAGAGTTACTCCGACGGACTTATTAATTTTGTTTCTCGCAACCACCGCCAGGGTATTATTTCCGGCTTCTGGTTGGCCACATTCGAATTTGTGAAGACGCCCTGGAACACGCCCAGCCCGCTTTCGGCCAATGGCGCCTCCTCATTTGTCTTCTATACTTCCCAAGGAATAGACAAACTCTTTACATATACGGCTCCCTGGAGCCGTCGTAAATGGCCTTCTGTTGCCTCGTGAAGGTGTCACTCAGACGGGCAATGACGAATTCACGCAAAGCCTGCCTCGTGGACGAGGGCACCGTGGCGTCTGAAAGGTTAGTGACCTGTTGCATGACCGCAGTGGTGAAGTGAAGCAAACGGAATGAAAGGAAGCAAAAGGTAGAGGTCACTTACGGCTGCGCCCATCCGCAGCTGCTTAAAAACAGTCGACACACTCCGCAAAACCAGCTGCACACACGCATAAAGGTCGACTCCAGCGAAATCGACGCCGCGTAGCGGCAACACCGAGAAGCTCAGGAGAGGAGGTCGTTTTGACTCTGTCGTCTGCTATCGCGGCTTCGTTCTCGTAGGCAGCATAGAAGCAAGCATCGTTTGCAGTAACTATTTTTATGCTTTTGTCATGTCATTCCTACACACTGACTAGAACAAGGTTTCTACCGTTCAAAAATCGGGTTGCTTTCATATGTAACATCGATAGCTGCCGTGAAATAAATTATGGTGGCCCGCATGCTGAAAGACGAGAACGACCTATTTTCGTCCGCCATTTTGCCTGACCAGCGCGCCCCCTATAGTTTGCTGGAGTCGCGATACTCAGAATAGGAGCGGCCTTTTTTCGCCGTCCACAGGGCGCTCGGCCTTTCTGAAGTCCTTCTCTCTCAGACATGTACACGTCACTGAAAAGGGGTGACTAAATACCCTTACTCGTTACTCCCTCAAAACGTAACCGAGTATGTTAATTAACAAAAAGATCGCAAAGATCGCAAACTAGCAGTTGACGGTTGAACATATTTTAAGACAAAACCCCGAAACTGGGGAAAAGACGAAGGACGACGCAAAATCTCAACTTTGTCCGTTGTGTCGTCCGATGTTTTGTTTTTTCCCCCAGTCTCCGGGTTTTGTCTCAAAATAAGTACGTTACTCGTTACTGTCATTTAAAAGGAACTCTTGAGCTTAAAAGTAACGCGTTCTTTTCTCGTTACTTCGAACGTGTCGTTTTGATAAAGCATTAGCCGCCTTAATATACGCCGTCGTTAATGATTCCTCGCTTTTTAACGCGTTCATTGGGGGATAACGGTGGTCATACTGACCAACCTCGTGCACATCTTTCTATCTGGAGTTTTCTTGTCGTGCAGAATAAAGACGCGAGCTTGGGTGAGAACGAGGTTCGGTGCCCACATTTCCTTGCAGAAGTAACGAAATGCCGTCCCGTGTTACTTAATCAAAAAGTAATGAAAATGTGATACTTGTTCCTTCTATTAAAATCAAACTAGGTCTTTACTTCTTTAGCGAAATAATACTACTTGTAATGGGGGTGTTCCATATACAGGTCTGCGTCTTTTGCTATCACATGGGCGCGGGGCCGTCTAAGGGGCTGCTGTCCTTGCACCGTATGCGTTTGCTCCCGCGAGACCGCGAAGGCGTCTCGACCGAAGCGTGTCGCAAACGTCAGCCTGCCCCTAAACACAAAGACAGGCAGCCACGCACTCGGGAGGGGGAAAGACCCGACTTAGGGAGGAGGCAGAGCTGTAACGAAGATTGAGTCTGGCCCATTGCTGCTCTATCCGTCTTGATAGGCTCCGCTGCCTCTGAGCTGAAGGAAAAGGTCGCCTCGCGTCGCCTTTTGGTACTGTTTGGGGCGCTGAAGCACTTTCTTGCCACTGCAGCTTACCGTCCTTCATTGAATTATACACTCTAAAAGACTTTCCGAAAGAACGTTTTCTCACTCTTTCTCTTCTTCACTATATATCTATATATTTGTTTTTCTGGTTTGTTGTTTTGGGGAAAACACTTTTCGTTCAGGCTTGAAAACTTTTTTTTTTCCTGTTATATGAAGCGTTAAGTAAATTGCGAGCGATTTAAACAGAAAACAAAAGAGACGATACAAAAGGAAGGTACCGCCATCACAGCCGACGAAATTTGTACCGTGTTTGCTCGTTGTGGTCCTCAAATTACCCATTTTCTTGCCTCTAATTCCTTAGGTAACATAAGCATGTGTCGCGATTTTCACTAAACCTTTATAGCTTATTCCTTAATCATCTCAATGCGGCAAATGTTTTCTTTTTTTCTTTTTTTTCTAGATCTAAATTTGTCTTTAGACCTTCTGGACTGAAATGAAAGGCAACGTCCTTTAAGCGGCTTACCCATCGGTGATTGGACCGTTTTCTGCGAACAAAGACAGCATTTAGCGACAATAGGCAAGCTTGAACGATTTAGAATGGAAGCCCTGTACGTAAACAGCATGAGGGTGATGTTCGCCGTAATTCACTTTATTAAGCACGGCGATATAAATTTTCAAAATAATACTTATGCGAGAGATTTCGCCGGGACCCGGGATATATAGCTTAAATAAGGCATCGTCTCCATCAGTACTTCTTACAGTGTGGCGTGCGCACGGACACAGCGCGACAAGGGTCAATCAATCAATCAATCAATCAATACTTTATTTTCTTTCACAAGAAAAATGGCAGATGGGAAAGACATGGCGACATAAACGTCGCCATGTCTTTGCCTGTTTCTTTATTATTATTATTATTACAACCGAAACGATGTTTTGGAAAAGTTTTATGTGACAGATTTAGTTCATTCGGAGAAAAAGAAAAAAAAACACTTTGTTCATTGAATATTTATACTGCTAGAGGTCGATTTGCCTCTGATGAAGAGAGCTGTCCTGGGTGCGGTTTAGAGATTGCAATATATAGGCTGTCCGAAGTCTCCGTGCCGGATCTAAAATGGACCGCACAAATCGGCGCCTGCACGAAGCAATCTAAATTTTTTGTCGAAGCTGTATTGTCACCTCATCATTCGTGACAATACGAGCATTCAAACATGTCTGCCGACAGTATGGCCAATAAGATACGAGGAAGCCTCAGACAGTATATCTGCAGACTGTCTTTGGAATGCCTTCGCAGTGTGACCTTGGTTTAAAAGATGCCTGGTGGCAATCCTCAAAAAGATGTTGTCGCAAACCGACGTTAAAAGCAGGCCCGCACCCGCGCTCTGCTATATCCAAGACGGTCGTTCCGGCCGCCATCCCGTCGATGCCGGCAGGAAGGAGTGGGCCGGCCAATATTGACGGCGAGCGTCGCGCTCTTTCACGCGACGTCCCGGGGGCCTGGCACGACAAACTTCGCGACGTCCCCCGGTCTCAATCGCCGGCCCTTGGGGGAGCCACGGCCGAGGCGCGCCATCGATCAGCGCAACATGATGTCGTCGCAGGGTCCGGCATCGCCAAAGCGTCGCGCCCCGAGGGACGCCTCTTTCTCGCTGCGCCCGGCGCCAACAATCCATCAGCCTGACGGATGGACGCCCAATCATGGCCACCCGCTATTGTGCGCGCTCCTGGGGCGCCGAACTCCGCCGGTCCGCTTGTACTTCGTATACATCCAAAGGAACATGTGGCATAGCTGATTCCCGGATCTTGTCGCGCTTCGCTGAGTGTCGGGGAAGGCAGCCCTCTTACGGGGTTGCCAATCTTTGTAGTACCTCGTGTCGTCGACAGCGGGCAAATGAATCTTGGACGTGGAACGCTTAGACGGCGAGAGTTCATTCTGCATGCCTCGTGACACGGTGGCTCATGATGTAGATAAGCAATTTCCGTCGGCGTAGTGCCGCTACCTAACCTGGGGCTTTTAACGTACGTTCAGACTA